TTTTTTTCATCGGAGTTAATTTCACTCATGTGCTGCTGCGCAGCACATGGAGTGACATTAATTCCGACAAAAAAAAAACAATTGACTGTTATTTTTTGTCGTCTGTCCAATAATGTACACTTATCCGGCTCGAATTAAATTTATGGTAAAGATCTACTAATTCTGTAGAAGGATTTAGTTACGTCTTTCTTTACCGCGTCCACATTTGCTGGATAAAAATGTAAATTTAATTCACCGTTGAACCCGCTTTCGCTTGGGGCAATTTAAGACTGTTCTTGCGATCTTGTCGCCGCCCCCGGTTATTGCACCTTCAGGGTAATTGTACAGATCTACTAATTCCTTGTTAAGGTCCGATTCGAATTTAACTTTTTACCCTCATCCACATTTATTGGATTGTTCTGTTAAGTTGAAAATATTCAGAAAATTTTAAAGGTTTTGTATAGGTTTTTGTTACAGGAAATGTTTATCTCTTAAAAAATAACATGTGCAAATTCTGAATATGATTTAAAAATTTTTATAGGGTTAATATTTAACCTTTTACACATTTGCACATATTTAATATGAATATCTAGTATGAACTCTCACAATATACGTAACTGTATTGTTCTATTAGAATATCTTTTTGTAACTACATTATAAACATTTTATTATCTAAAAATTATATAAAAAAATAACAGTCAGTTAGTTTATGGTCATCTTAAAAGAATTTGTTAAGATATGTATAATAAGAAATATGTATATAAATTATTTCTTTTTTCAACAGTGTTTACCTTGCTAAATTATTCCTTTCAACGTTTTTTTTTTTTTTTTTTTTTACCTTTTTCGCGACGAAATTTAGTCAACTTAGTGATCTTATAACCTTCGCAATGCTTATTTCTAAACATATATTCGCTAAGTAAACCGTATTATAAAAGTTGGGTGATTAAGAGGGATTAAAACATATGTTAGAATACAGCACAAAGCTTAAAGTTTGCTTAGTGAATTAATCACGTTTCATAGAAAAGATAAGTTACGCCGGCTTACTAAAACGTATTGTAAAACAATATAAAAAAGTTTTCTTTCAATTGTGTAATAATTTTATGTAACATTGACGGTTCCACCTGTTTATTAATGCTGGGTTGCACGAGTTCACAAATTTTTACTAAGCTATATTTCACATCGAAGAAATCAAATTATAAAAAAAAATTTTAATAATATGGTCGGCTCGGTTCGAACCGACTCAAGTAATTTTGGTAGCCGGATCGACCTCTATAAAAAATTTTAAGATCATATTCAGAATTTGCTCGTGTTATTTTTTTAAGAGAGGAGCATTTTCCGTAACAAAATTTTTACAAAACCTTTAAAATTTTCTGAATATTTTCCAATTTCCTGCATATTTTTGAAACCTTATTAATTTCATGATTATAATTTTTTGTTTGATGAAAATTATAATCAGAAAATTAACAAGGTTTCAGAAATTTGAAAATTTTAAAGGTTTTGTATGCTCATCTCTTAAAAAAATCATCTTAGTAAAGTCTGAATATGATTTTAAAAAATTTTTTATAGGGCCTGCATTACTAATGTGTCGTCTCAAGTCTAAAAAATTTTGAATCAAAATTTTTAGGTTTGAATTATAAATTACGTACGTACGTACATGGTTTTACAAATTGCTATATCTTATGTAATACAGTATTTTTATAATTATGCAGTAAAAAAATACTATATTTAAACCCAGAAATTAGAAACAACCCGTTTTCCCGGATAATTATTGTTACGTATTCTTTTTTGAGCATACATAAGCACAATCCCATACAGGAGGATATCTGGATCGGAATTGGTTAATTTTGACCATCACTAAAAAATTTTAAAAATGAAGTCATCGTCCATTCATTAAGTAAAAATTCCCAATAATTTTGCTATAGATTAACGTTTTAGTTATGGTTGGCTAATATTGCTTAATGCAGGGACACGGAAATTATGTGATTTAGTGTGATTAAACAAAATCACACTAAATCACATAATTTTGTTTCACTTATTTTACGTTAGTATTATGTGCACTCGTTTTAAATATTTAGTATCGTAATATTTTAAAATGTATAATAAACTAAGATAATTCTAGTTGTATATTAATTTATATAGTATGGTAAAACACCATAAATAAATTCGGCTTCAAAATTAGAAAGAGAATTTTGCTATTTTTAATAGTTCAAAAAAACAACAACGAGTACTTGATTTAATTAAGGTAATATCGTTAACTATAAATAATTTATTTTTAGGTTAATTACTCTGATACGCTTACAAATTTTTATTAAAAGAAGTGTTTTTTAGCAATTAATGAATCAGAAACAGATAAATTTTTGTTTAGTTGAGCGCAATATTTTACAAAGTTTTATTAAAAGTGGTTTTTTTTAACAATAAATAATAGAACCAGTTAAGTTTTTGTTTAGTTGAGCGCAGTATTTAAAAACTTGAAGTTTTGTTTTTACGAGATAAAATTGCTTAGTAAACATCATTAAATCGCACTTTAATTTTTAATCATCAGTAAATCGAATATTTCATATATACCGCACGCATAATTTACAAATTCTTATCGCATAAATGCCTTTTAAACCTCAGGTTAGCGGAAATAGTAATAGAGTCTTCGCATGAATTCTGTGCCAGGTTTTGTCGATCATTGTGGCGCAGATACCTGAGATTTCAAGATCATGATGTAACGTAACATGATCGGCAAATTCCAAACTAAACGTTCGTTTTAAAAATCATTTATTTCTCAAAAATCCACACAAAAACCACCTTTAGTGCTCTAACAATAAGTTTTCCTTGAGCGATTTCACTATATAATTACCTAGCCTTTAACCTTATTCTAAACAATGAACTTTAAAATTTATCGTTAATTGTAAAACTGCGCCACAAACCTGGCACAGAATTCATACATGTCTTAACTCAAGTTATTCCTTCTAACCTGAGATCAAAAAAATAGGATAGAGGGTGTGATTATTATTTTCAGAATTTTACGGTAATTATTTAAATTTCAGTAATTTCATGAAAATAATTTTTTTATGTAAATAATATAATTAACCTATTTTACAGGGCTAAAGCTCTTTATGCTTTCATTAGATAGATATATAAATATAAGCATTTATTAGGTTATATAATTTTTATTTACATCTTAAAAGTTTGCAAATAAGCTCGTTTTTCTAATTATTTATGATTTGTTCCAGTTTCATCCGTTTGGGAAATGGCTTCTCTACTTCAGCACTTTGTTCTTGATTGGTGAAGTTTAAATTGTCCTGGAGAAATGCTACAGCTTTACCCTTAGAAAGGGTAAACATTACGAGTTTTCAGTTTTCGAAGCAAAAAAACTGCAATACAGCAAAAACTGCATACACAGATTTAAAATCGTCGGCAGTTAATTCTGCCATTGCTTGGTACAAGCAACTGTCATTAACAGATTTCTTTAATTCGAACAGAACCCAAATATGGTTTTGTGGGATTCTTGATGAAAGAGAAAATCTGTCAACGACAGCTGCATCCGTAGTGCCAATTAGTCTTATTGGCAAAACTCCATCATTCATATTTAAAAAATTATTTCTCTTGGATGCATCAAATATTTCAAGATTCCGGTATTTGGAAATTCGGAGGATCTTTCTGAGGTGGGATAAATATCTATCGCTTTGTTTCCATTCCGGCTGATCATCTCACTGAAACATATCACATTTGATTTCATGATGAGGATTTACTTGAATGGCTTCAGGCTTAAGACCGGCAGCTTTTTGAATTTGGTTCCAGTCGATGCGCTTAATTTTAGATATTGCAATATCGGCTAGTTTTTGCAAATTTTTTACCAAATTCTTGAGATTATTAAGCCTCTGGACGATCTCTTGGTTGCTTTCTTGTATAGCAAAATTTAAAGATTATGTTAGTTTTTGACATTTTGTTTAAAAGCAAAATAGATTTTTTTAATTATTCATACTACTTATTATTATATTACCTTTTCTAATCAACTTGTTTCAGAATCATCTGCTGAAGGAGAGTTATCTCTTGAGAATGTATTACTGTTGCTGTCTGTTTTATTATGTCGCGACTCACTTTGGTTTTCATTATTTTCAGTGCTTTGGGTTTAATTATATAAATAAAAAAAATAATCATATAAGTAATAAATAAAAGATATTTTTTTCATTTTCATATTTTTTACTTACATATTCTTTGTTTATTTGTTTTATCACTTAAAGTACGCGGCTCTTTGTTATTCTTTAATAAAAAAAAGAGAAATGAAATACGCCAAGTGAATATATTTCAATCAAAGGAAACCAAAGTAACGAACAATTCCAAACAAAGACAAGCAAAAATCACAAATAAAAAAGAGAAAACCTTGGTGAACATTTTTCAATTAAGAATATCAAAGCAACAAATAAAGTAAATATACTCACCCAAAACTGGAGAGTCAATTTACATGAAGGCACCAAGAGAGAAGAGAAAAGCTGAAACACCAAGTAAAAATGCACCTAGAAGCATTCTTTTTATCTATGTTCATTATAAATGAAAAAACAACAAAAAAAAAAAAGACAAATAAATAAAGATCTACATTTGTGTAATAGTGTATGTAGGAATAACGTGTATTCCAGATTTTCTGAACACGTGATGTAGATCACTGCCTTGGATATTACCAAATATGGGATGTAACGGCGTGGGAGAGCACCTAGGGAACTCGTACCAATTTAGTCAGCGTCATTGACATAAACTTGGATGAGTTTTACTTAGAGAATTGGTAAGTATGAATTATTGGGAGAGCGATTATTAAAGAGAGACTTTATTTATTACAGTGTTTTATCTACTAACTGATCGTTGAGAATTACTGACAATTACTTAGGATTATTACTCATTATTACAGAAGC